TCGAATCTCGCAAGTCGGAATCATGGATGCTCACTGTTGAAGAGTCCCACAATAGGACGAAACGGCCTTAAAGCAGTGCTTTCAGGTTTTCCATGTTGGTCTTGCTTCAATTGACTCATGATTTCAACTATAGAATTCCATTTGTGCCACTATATTCATTATGCTGCTCGATTTATTTACTGTTTCTTTGTCTACGAGTACTGCAACAATATCATGAGCATTTGACCAGATACTGTCTTTCTGTGAGCTGGACAAGTCACTGCTTGTACATTGTGTTTCAGGGATAATGAGATTTGAACCCACTACAGAGCATGTTTCCAAAATGGACATTAGTGGACCTCGGGGCGAATCATGTATTTCTGCTACTGTTTCGTTTAAATTACTGCTTATAAGCGTTATATTGGAAGCTGTGTTTAACTGTAATCAGGCATCATACACACTAATCTTGAGAGAAACATACTTTCTACGGTTATGGAGGCCGGTTCTATTAACAGCTACTGTTACTTCGGCTGAATCTTTTAGAATACACTTTTGTTGATGACGTTTTCGGGTTTTGCTATGACTTTCTTCGTGTCCTTTTCTGGAACACGTAGTACAATGATGATTTTTAAACCTCTCACATTCTCGGTTCACAATTCCTGCATGTTTCACTCAGTCATCTCCTGGTTATTTCGTTATCTACAAGCATTGGCAAGGAATATTAGATAGAGATGACTGTTCTATAAACGTTTGATACAGGGTTTGAATTGTTTCATTTAAAACTAAAGGCCGGGCGCCCAAACTGAAGCAGGTGGTTTTCTTAGAGAGGCCACACCTGCAGCCTTTGATCTAAAGGTCTGATCCACAAGGCAGTGGATGTTAGTATATGAAGTCCCGTGGTAGTCGGTGACCAATGATTGATTCATACGCCATTTGTTATTTCAGGATACTGGAGCCCATGTGCACCATTGGTTTTGAATCAGGGTTTTCCAACTCCACTAGGTGAAATTTTCGTGTCCATCGATCCCGTTAAAGCGCCAGACATTCTCTTTTCATCCTCTCAATTTCATAAACAACACCCCACCACGAGAAGGCAGTGAGTAGAACTTCCCTAGCAGAGGTTATATACGCGTGGCTATGTGAGAGTATTTCGAGACGGAGAACGGACTCTCTCCACTCTCAGCAATACCAGGACATTTGGGAGCGATCAATGTTTTTGAATATATGTATATGTATGCATGTGACTGTATATGTACTTCATTAAACCTAAAAGAAAATATTAAAAAACTAGACACTTGATGAAAAAAAAGACACAAAAGTGAAAAGAGAGTTTCTATATCCGTAACATAATCAAAACATTTCCAGTGTGATATCAATACTGATCCCATTTGTCTTATATCTAACTATAAACTAACAATCTTCAAAGTTGAATGAGAAGTGCGAAAAAAGTGAATTTTTTCTCATACATCAAATACTACTTTTTTTTAATTAGATAGTAGTTTTTCTCTACTGAACTGTCCTAATTTATTATCTCTTTTGCATAGATTGATACAAAAATATAAAAAGAGAATGGTTCTTCCCTTTAGTAAATGAAATGGATGTATAAAATATAGGTTACTGTATGTATCCAGATAACTTAGAAATATACCCAATCAATATTTTTCTGTAGGCAATGTAATTGTACTTAGTGGATGAGCATTGCAGTATATAATATTTGATCAAATCATGATCATTCATATTGTGTTGTCCAATGATTAGCTTAAAATGGGACCTGAAAAAGATGGATTAGTGTTGGTCTTAACGACATGGGAACAGTGCCCAAAGGATAACTGCTTGAAGTCGGTCACACACGACCTTTTTGTGGGTAGTTTTTGTGTTAGCTCCGTTCTTCAAAGGACCTTACCGCCGGAGACCGATATCCGTGGGATAAGGCAAGGTGTGCATTTTTAGGGTCAAACTTTTCTAACCCCATCCCTCCTTGTGAGAAGGCAGCATCGCTGTTATGCTAGTTGTCTGAAGGAAACACCTTACTGCTGTCACACCTCTAAACAGTCAGCAGTACGACTTCGTCTTAGACCTTGGGTTTGCTGCTTTTAGTCTTACCGCTCTTCAACCGACCTGTCTGGCATGGTACGACCTTGAGTAACGATTGTTCCAGCCAGTATAGCTCGATTGGTTCATCACGATAGGCAAGCCCGATCACGTCAAGGTAGCAGCAGCGGTCACAATCGAACACAATGGAGTGGGTGTATACACTCTATGTCTTCCTAAAACTGTGAGATTGCTTTAGATTTTTCTTTCTTCCTGTATTATATCCTTATATACAATCTTTCTTTTATATATTACCGCCACTAAATTAATTACTTCTATGAATTCGGTGTTCATCTTGTTGCGCTAACGAGGTATGGCAACTTGGACTGATGTATATATGCGCCTGGTCCTACGTTGTAGCTTACTGACTGACATTGTACATTCATTTGTTAATTATAGAAGCTTAGCTAAACTGGAAACAGATGTTCCACTGAAATTGGGATATCAGCTTGTGCTCCAACAAAACAAACGGTTTTTATATGAACAAGTATTTAGTTAAGCGTAGAAATGACTAGTTTTTATAGTTGTGAATTATTAGAACTGGAAAATAATTTTACACTACGAACTGATAACAGCTTGAAAACTATGAAGCGATCGCTAACTGATTTACTCGTTTCTGTATCCCCAACAGCGCGGAACGACGACACCATATCTCCTTGAAGCAATGAGATTTTAATTTCACAAACAGTACAATACCTCTAGACCCAATACACCACATTTATCCCAACTTCAATCAATGTAACTGTGCGATCCCTATGCTGAAATAATGTAAATCTCATCACAGACCAACTCTAGTTTGACAACTACTGAAAAACAGGAGGTAATTAACAGCTATTTTAACTTAGTATATGGACTCAGAAGTATACATACATGACTCTACCTGGGACCAAAATCAGGACCTTCAGGTCTCACAAAGAACACCCAATCTTGAGCCCACTGAGTCAATATCCGACGGTTTACATATTTAGCTTCAATCAATTCACGATATTCCACAACCATCTTCATATCCGACTAGTGTGCAATTAACATACTCGTGGAATGGTTCCACTTTCTTGGTTATGGCTTCTCACCCCATGAATTACTTCTCAAATCAAATCATTCTTGAAATTGATAATTTTCCACCAAATAGTGGAAAGCACTTCTGAAATAATTATCTCATTGTTATCAAACCCTTGATTTCTGTTTTTTAACTTATTCAAAAATGAAAACCCTTTATATATCTACAATTTAATCTTCGAACAGTAAAATTTGTTAAGATATTTCCTTGGAAGTCTTATTCCTACTTATAAGTAGTTCAAGTGAAGATCCGATAAAAACCTATTGTGGCGACATACTACTGTTAACTATTGTGAAAATTTGTGGCAATTTAGTACTATAATTTTTAGACATTACCAGCGTTGGTCTATCGGTTAAGTACTCTGGCGCGAGACTGGTAGGTCCTGGGTTCGAATTTCGCGAGGCGGGATCGTGGATGAGCACTGCTGAGGAGTCCCATAATAGGACGAAACGGTCGTCCAGTGCTTCCACGTTTTCCATGATGGTCTTGCTTCAATTGACTCATGATTTAAACTATGAAAAATACTGAAATCTACACAACAACCCCTTCTGCCTATATTTTTCAGTTGGACAAGTTTAGTCTGATTTTAATAATCCTTAAAGTATTCACGTGCATTGCTTTTAATCGTCCAGCAAGCCTACTCTATTATAAAAATCCTCAGCAGTAAGGGTTTGAATGTACGTACATTACATCTAACCTTTTTCAAAGCATCTAAATAGGAAGGAAACCGATGAATAAATAGATATCTGCTTTGAATTTTCTTTATTTCAAATGACTATATTAGAATATAATATCAAGTCCCATTCCCATCGATTTACTGTGAAGATTTCAGTGTCAAAACTATCATTCAATCCACACACAAAAAGAACAGAGACCCTTGTTCGTTCAACTGTTATGGGAAAAAATTATAAGCACATTACACTTCACTGAGTCACTGTTACTTTGGTTCTTTTCAAACAAGATCAGTACAAAATAATACAATAATATGATGCGACAATGAAATCAGTTAGCTGCATTACAGAATATCTTGAACAAGTCTTAATTCGAATGTAAATACAAAACACATTAGCGTCATTTTAGTGGGGATATTCGTAGGCTACTAGTATTCAATCATAGGTGTCTTCGAAGCATTGCTCGTATATCCTGGGACCACCAAGTAAGTAATGCAGATGTTAGGAAATGGGTACTAGATAAGTATGGCAAATCGATTGATGAAGTGGTGAAACTTCATCAGTTGAGATGGCTGGGACACGTATTACGTATGCCCAACCAACGACTTCCCCGACGTGCAATGATTTATGGTGTAGGAGTAGGTTGTAAGAGAGCTAGGGGCGGCCAGACCAAAACGTGGCACAAATCAATGAAGTCACTGATAATTGGACTAAGCTATGCTGGTAGGTGTAGACTATCTAGTTGGGATTCGCGAGATGATAGCAATCGATGGTTAGAGACCTTGAATGACATGGCTCAAAATCGTTTGCAATGGCGAAAGTGCATCCACTCTTTGTGTTCTGTCAAATTCTAATCTTCTGAATTCTTCATGTCTCTATCTTTTTTCCCTTTCCAAATGTATTTCATTGGATTATACTCCTTCAATAACATCCTGAAACATTAATCTTTCACATAATCCTTATTACTCTTATTACTACTTCTACCACTATGGGATTTGAATCAACAACTGCATCTCCGTGCTAATGTAATATGGCAACTCGAACTAATGTACGTACGTACGAAGTTCTACGTTGTGACTGACTGACTGATTTTAGTGAGGTTACTTATTACAAGTATGACTTAACAGGTCTATGTCCAACTCTCCCCCTTTATCTGCATTTGAGACTATAACCCTAGAAACACTCCAAAAGAGAAGTCAAATACAACTCATAACTATAATCAACTGAAGATATATCTCAATACAATGAATTATGAACACATTTTCTCATAGATTAAGTAGTATACAGTTAAGATGATGGGGTGTTTTTTATAGTTACATTGTAATGGTGATACAAAATTTCGTTTGGAAACCGAAATTGAATACTGAATATCAATCAAGTATCATATCAAATCATATCACTGGTAACCAATGACAAATGATACATAAATGTCATCAAATGAACTGTACAATTTCACATTAACTGTTTAGGAAAACCTATTATTACTACTGAAATGACTTTATGAAAGTAATAGTAGAAGGTAAATAAAGTTACAACACTATAGTAGAACAAGAAAAACACAACAAAATAGTCAGTCAGTCATAACGTAGAACTTCATACGTACGTACATCAGTTCGAGTTGTCATACCAAAGCAAAATATCTGATGACTAAATCTAATTATAAACAAGAATAGAAATAGGTCTAAGAAAATAATAAACGTAAGAATTTTAGAACAAAATAACTACCAAATGTGATATAAAGTACTTTATCCATTAGCTGACGTCTAGTTAATTCAAGTTCTATTTCCTTGATACGATTCTCTAATAGTCTTATACGTCGTGTATCTATAACAATCGATTGGGCATTAATTGTTTGACTCGTTAACAGGGATAATGATGATGATGTAGATGTTGATGCTGATGTAGATGAATGATTCATAACATTGGAAATATTCGATAAAGGAAGTGGAGAAGGTTGTTGTTCTGTTGGGATATGATTCCTTATTCTTTTTGAAAATAAAATACAAATACAAATACAAATACAAGTAAATAGATCAAATTAAAACGTTTGCAGAATTGACATTAAAAAGCTGTTATTCTATGTTACAAATTATTCGTAAATTCACTTGATATTATTTGCTTGAATTTTCCCATTGATGTTTAGGAATGTAATTGGTCAGTCTCTTATTGGTCATATGTGCATACTGTAAGTATTGCCTCCATATTGCCTTAATTTACAAGCATTCTAAGCAAAGATACATAGTGGCTAGTAGTGGAATCCAGGAAACGCGTTTCATCCTATTTGGGACTCGTCAGCTGGATGTACCTGCATCTCAGAGTTGATATTCACTCTGGGACTCGAACCCACAGGCAAGTGGTTGAGTGGATAACGCGATGGCGTTTGAAGCGAAAGATACTGGGTTCGAGCTCCTCCCAGGGTGAACATTAACTCTCAGATGCAGATACATCCAGAGGATCAGTCCCAAATAGGACAAAACGCGCGTCAAACTGGATTCCACTGCTAGCCACTATCCATCTTTGCGTATAATATTCGTAAATTGATGTAAATCATTTACAAATTACATATTTGTTGCGTACTTGAATTTGAGTTCCAATTAGTCGCATATGAAAAGATAATTCCATTACTGTAAGACTGAACAAACATAAAGCGTAGTAGAGTTTAAATATGTTACTGAGAAGTCGAATGTTTTAATCACTAAATCATCACTTTATTATTATTATTTATTTAAACACATAAATATTGGTACAAGGAAGCACCAGATATATATGCGCCGCACAAAACTCATTCGATTTGTGTGAGGGCTGTGATACTGCCCAGGTGTCCAAACTGAAGCAGGTATAGCTCAGTGGTAGAGCATTCGACTGCATCACTTTAAACGTGAGCTATGAGAAAAGGAAATTATTTCGAAAACTAACTTTCAAAAAAAAAACACAAAAATAACCAATTATTCTTACTGAGATTCATTTGTTAATGGAGTCGAGATTGTTGTTTCTATTTCTCTCTTTTCAATAGTTAATCGTTCTAGATCTGGATAATGAACTTCATTTAATACTAAAGAAGTAGGTAATGGTTCTAAAGCATGTTGAAGTGGAACAGGATCTAAATTATCGATAAGATCGTCTGTAAAAACAAACAAATTTAAAAAGTTGAACAAAATAATAAGTAATAAAGTATATGGATTTATCTGTATATTCGATTGATGGCGGTAATGTTGATTATACCATTTCATCATTCATTTGAGCACATAAATATTGGTACAAAGAGGGCACCAGATACGTATGCACCACACAAATCTCATTTGACTTTTGTGAGAACTGAGATACTGCCCAGGTGACAAAACCGAAGCAGGTGGCTTTCTTAGGGGGCCACACCTGGAGTCTTTCACCTAAAGGTCTAATCCACAAGGCAGTGGAGCATCGTAAGGAGATGCAGTCCCATGGTAGCCAGTGACCAACAATTGACTCATACGCCATTTGTTCTTTTAGGATACTAGAATTCATTCACAACATTGGTTTGAAATCAGGGTTTTCCAACTCCCCTAGGTGGACCATTCGTGTCCACCAACCCGGTTAAAGCGCCAGACATTCGCTTTTCGTCCTCTCAATCTCGTAAAGAACACCCCCGCCAAGAGCAAGCAGTGAGTAGGACTTCCCTGGCAGAGGCTATGTGCGCGTGGCCATGTGAGAGCATTTGGAGAGGGAGAGCGAACTCTTCGTACTCTCGGTCGTACCAGGGCATTTGGGGGGCTGGTTATACCAAAAAAAATGAGTCAAACAACGCCCCATAGAATAGATATTGCTATAGGTCCAGATTATTATTTAAATAAACATAAATTGTAAGTTTAACCACAGGGTATCAGACTCAGTTAGTCAGTTAAAGACTACGTAGAACCAAGTACAAATATCTATTGGTCCAAGTTACCACATATTACATCAGTTAAGTAAAAGGAGAAATTAAGAAGATGAGAGGTAGAAGAAGAGAAATAATCATAACAGTCAATCTAGTAGAAAGTTAACCATGAGTATTCTTCAACAGAAAGAACATATGAGATAGAAGAAAGGAAAAATAGGAACAGTATAATCTCAAAATTCAAAAGAACACGCAAGCAATGGGCACAAATTTGCCACGGCGACAGATATTGGACGATGTCCCCCAATCACAGAAAATGACTACTGCATGTGTTTCAGTTACAAAACCTACGACTCCTCAGTAGTCAGTAACTTCATGTATGGATGACGTGTCTTGATCCGGCTCCTTAAAGTCTTATTCTAAGGTGCTTCTAAGCTAAGTAGTATCACACACCAAGGTAAGTAATTTCTGGCTTATCATAACACACATCCAAACCATCTTAGTCAATCGACGTCCATAGCCTAGTTAGTCTACTAACCATTTCTACCAAAAACCTTTAGCGTGACCCCCGCCTACTACATTGTCTATGGTATCATCTATTATCAAATATTTATAGCCAATATATTTTATAGTTTTATAGGCTGTCTAATAGACGTACAGCAATATGGAGAGGATTGATATGTAGTAGTCTCATCCCCTGATTCGCAAGTGTACATTTTACTTACACCACACAATGTAGAAAAACCAAACGCTCGTTTGGTATTTATGTCAGCTGTTAACACCCCAAGACTTATGTGATTTTCAAAATTGGTAAAGTGGTTTACACTTTCGATTAATTCGTTTTACATAGTAAAACTAGAAATCCACTTAAGAAAATTTCAGAACACAATATAGTGTTATAAACTTCTTCTATTACGACCCAGCTATTCCTTTAGCTCAGTATTCTTGGACACCGATTCACTTGACAAGTCCCCAAATCAAAACGCAGTTGAACAGGAAAGAAATGATATTCCAAATAACAAGGATAGATAGAAGTAAGAAGCAAAATAAAAGATATGTTAGTATATTTACAGTTATTGCATGAGAATACTCCAGATTTTTCTCCAAGTATCAACTAACGCTGATTAAATAAGAAATAGACAATCAGCGTGCACCAATGCAATCGTGCATGGAACATGCTTTGATCCTATCTATGTCCTGCTAACACCTGCCGTTTGAGCAGATTCGTACGATCTGGTGCTAAGATCCAACTGCAGCCGAGTGACTGGCCTGTGCCTTCGACTTGTCCATCTTCTAGGCAATAAAGAAGCTGTATCATTGCTTGCACAGAAACTGACCTGTCTGTTTCAGGCGTTTTGATTTCAAAAGTGTTTAGCACGATCCGACGAGCTTATACTGGTGTCAATGTCCTGACTATGACATTCTTTCTTTAGATACCAGGGTGACATGAGTATAAGCGGCTACAAAACGACAGATACGACAATGAGTTAATTGAACAGGTAAATCTTAATTTAACTTGGAGTAGTGTCAATGCTATTACTAAGTTAAAAGTTCAGAACAAATTGCAAAAGCCCATGACTGCATGTCGGTTATGTGGTGATTGGCATTATGTACTATTCTGTTCGTTGAAGCATAAAAGTCAGGTGTGCAACAGACGTGGACAGAAGGAATATATATATATATATATAGTTTCATGTCGCAAAGAAAATGTTACACGCATATTTAATACCTACCTCCACGTCGGTTGAATGCCATAAGTGGAGATGATTGATTCTGTGCACCGGACATGACTATTCTCTCTGGCACTTTCATATTGTCATTCTCAGAAGAACTGAGTGATAAATTCATCTGCGATAAACTACTTGGATCCAATGATATTCTATCAGGAACTCTCATCTTTGAGTTGATGTCTTTGATAAAACTAGGATCACAGCTACCTTGTGTGAAAAAATCATCTAGGATGACGGACCTATGAACAAAAAATAAGTCAGAGTATATCTCCATAAAATTTAAGTAGCCAAAAATTTTAAGGACGATTTCCATCAAGAAAAGCATTTAATAGATTATCATAGAAGACTTGGTCATTTTTTGCTTCAAAGCATGATTTCCTTAAACAGGTTGCATTTTATAATTTTAAACGGAAATCAAGTACAGAACAATCAAGTCACAGTGAAGGGCGGGAAGTACAATCCTTAGGTTTTTTAACTTAAATGCCCTGGTACGGGTTCGATAGGAGTGAACTATGCACCTGTGGTGATACTTCGTCACATAATTATTTACAAACTCACGTGGAAATTTACTTAGAAAGTATAAAGTAATGATGGCGAAATCCTGTCAATACCCAATCGCTCTATTTCGAGGTCCTCGTCAAAGTCGTAGGGAATTTGTTAGTCTTCTTCAAAGTTTGGGGAAAAAACCCAGTGTTATAGAATTCCGGAGAAAACCTGAAACTTCCCCAAATAATTTGGAGTTTTTGGGCAATTTCTCTAGACTATTCTCTTGCGGCCTCTTTACAATGTACCCAAAACGGGCGAAATTGTCAACAAAATGGGGAGGTTACGTATTCCATCACTTTACATAAAAGATAGAATTTTCCTAGCAAATCGGTAATTTCGCACCGACACTTAATATAAAACCTTTTAAATGCACCCTTTGATTTTTAAAACTTAGGGAATAAATGGTCTCACATGTGACAGGTCGGCTGTTTTTCTCACCGCTTGATCTCTAGCATGTGACGCACACAAACAACATAGCCGCGCAAGACTTTTTCAATTCTCAATAACTTGGTGTGTATTTAACAAGAAAAAACGAACTGACAGCGTAAAAACATAGATATTGACTGATTCTTATGAAATTCGAGAGGATAAAACGTTGCTTAAAGATGTGAAAAGTGATCGTGGAAGAATGTTTAAAATAATTTAAAGCTGTCCCACTGAAACTAAAAAACTGTTGATCCTTTCGAAAGAACTGCTGTTGAGACCCTTTAGGATGAGTTTTCGGCATGTATCTAAAACAGATTTGAATAGATCAGGGATCAAGCTATCTGGAATTATAAACAGAAATTGATACTGTTTAGTACAGACATATCGAATTCAAGCATCTGAACAACCGTTTTGAAATACGTTATCTAGACGAACACGTGGCTCTCATATATGTCAGTTTAATTTTCTTGGGTTTACCTAAGACTTGGTCTGGTGATTGTGTTTCAGAGAGTTTCAATCATACTTATGCGTTAACCATTTAGAAAGACTTTGCAGTCCTATATTATCATACCTTGTCATTTCAGCCAAATTTATTTCAAGAAAAACGGAAGCTCTGTGGTCAATAAAGTTAGGCTGAACAGTAACAAAATCACTATGTCGTACTGAATATATTATTGAGTAGAAAGACAGATCACTAGACAGTAAACTGCTAACTATTACTGTCGATTACAAGCCTTCCACACGCAAAAGTTACAATTTTCTGACAGGCTGAGAATGGAAAAACCGATCACTACATACGGTAAGAGATACGCTTATCTTAACGTACGTTTACGCACACACATTCACTGGGTTTTATTTGTTTCAGATGTGAGAATGCCAAATATTGGTTTTGTTACGTCCTTGAATCTTTCTACCCACTTTAGTGCCGAGTATGACTTGTCTAATGTAGATTAAGACCTTTACGTGATAGGCTGACTGGCTTAACCTTGAGGCTAATATACGTGAGTCCAAAGTGGGGTAGAGAGACGAAATTTATTCTATCCCTGATTGGCTGGAAAGCGCGCGCGAGAGAGAGGAGACAAAAACAGCTGGGACACTAATCAATTTATTCCAACCCCCATCTAGCACTCGAATTCCCAATTCAGATTAAAGTGAAAAGTTACATGAATAAATGGATGAATAACCTGACCACAACGTACAATAATAAGGAAAATACAATCATGTCCAAAACTGGGGGATTGTAGTAGAAATTGATTACAAAAGATTACGTCTAAATTACAATAGCTTTAGAACAGAAAATGCTATGACAGTGAATTATACATCAAAAGAAAGCTCATGATCTGTAGAATAGGCTAGGGGCAGAAGTAAATGTTACAGTTTTACAAGCTTTGAATTAAATGAATTAACGTCCCCGAAAGTAACTTTCATAATTTGTCAAGGCTTCTTGTTTAGCGGTTCACATCAGGTATAGACCTGCTACAACACAACAGTCGCCTCACCGTCCCAAGCAAACGGAAGTTAGTGGAGATAAAAACTAATTGACTGTTCTCGGAACCTCATCTTCTGGTTGTAGATTATGACTGGTCACAGTTAAAGGCACAATCGATCCATACAGCTAACGGGTTCTCGATAAATATCCCAAACCTTACAAAACACGACACAAGCTGTCGTATGTAGCCAGAAATCTTACACATAAAGTCATAGCTACAGGACTACCTATGTATTCGGAAGTGGACTGAACAGCCCACAAAAAGCCAAAATGGGACAAAAACGAAATCGAGAAATATCATGGACCCAATACGAAAATCATCGACGCCCGTTAGCTTTTCGTGTCGGTAGTTGCGCATCGTTTTATCTATAGAAAAGCCGGACTAGCCATCGAATAGATCTTTGTTTAGGTCGTGTATCAGGACAGTTGGAGCGCGAGGTTATTTTTTCAAATACAAAAACTTCTCCAACATTCATTATAAAATAGTAGGAAATATAATGCCTACACAAAATAATGAAGTAAATGAATATTTAAGCTATAACGTTTTGATACTAATAATATGTTTCCGACCAACTCTTAATCAATTAACGTAAGCTGTTGCAACCTCTTGTCACAAATTCAAGATCTGACAGATACCTCAAAAACGAAACGGTTTCTCGAAAGCCTGTGTGGTTCAAGAGAGTGATAAAATTCCCACAGCTGCAGAAGACATCTTTAAAACGGCTGTCAGCGCTCACTTTAGAAGTTACTAATTTTCGCGCATCCTTTTCCGTTTAAAAAATTGTACACAAAATTTTCAGATATTTGTTGATGACGTATCCGTGGGTCTCAGCTTCGTGTGCAGGTATGTTGATAACTGCTTGATCGCAAGCCTGGATAGAGAAACGTAGTAGTGATGTAAACATACAGATAATTCAGATTGGAACCTACTTTTTGGACTTTCTCGGACACACTATTCATGCCCAAAGTTTTCGCCCTCTGCGAAGCAATGTGGGAGCCATCCTGGCTTACCTAGAACTAACAACAGCCAAGTAATTGTGTACCTTCAACGACGTGGAAAGAGTTTAGAGATGAATAGTATCTAATTGTGCATCTCTCACGAGACCCTTAGCAGACCGACTTCGTAAAAATGAGAAAATTATCAGCTTTCAGAACTCGAAAAACGGCATTCCACACAGTTAAGGAACATTATCGCCAAAGCAACTATACTCGAACACCATCACATCAAAGCATCCTCCACTACCACCCTAGACGCGTCGGAATTACCAATAGGAGTAGTCTTACAACTATCACCCAACAATTTCTAGCATTCTTCTCAATCGGTTGCAATACAGTGAATTGGGATTTATCACCTTAGACAGATAACTCCTATCATTATATTGTGATGATAGTTGAAGGCTTCACTTTCAGCGCCAAGTATATCAAATTAGATTGACTCTCTTCCACTCGTGTTACTTTGTATTCACAAAGCAGATAAAGCCGACGTCAAATACACTGTAGCAAAATTCGTTTACGGAATGACACTTTGACTTCAAGGTGAACTCGTGGGTTCCTTATCTCATTCACTGGATATAGATCTAAACTCCTACACGAAGGAGCTTACAAACTCCATGAGTTCAGTAAAACCTGTTTCCACTCGACTGCAGCTAACTGATATTTTCGTCCGACCTGCCTTACAACTTGACATACATCTTTGTACGCCGCGATTTATTACTTTAGCCATGCTGAACTGTATAGGAAGGACCCTTCAAAGTCACACATCGAGAAGGTGAGTACTATACCACCGATAAGAACGGAACTAACGTTGATATCAACAATGGCAGTCCTAATGACACAAACTTGGAAGAAAATCCTTGTAATTCACCAACACTTGTTACTTGTGTTGATGATTTGGGTTTACTGGTGCTGGAAGAAAATAGGGTGACTACCCAGCCTAAGTCGATGTCACACATCACAGTTAATAATTAACACAGGTTACCCTTTCGTCGTTTCCAGGTACCACAATCACTTTTACGAGCGTAACTAAAAATTAACGTTGTGACAGCAGTGTATTGGTAAAAATAGTAACAAGAAAAGAATGAAACCACTCGATCGTCGACCAGTTCATGGTGTGCAATCAGTTGATGCAAGCCGGTTGTCTATGATCTTATCGAGGTTTGTAAACTGTTCGATACTCAGTGACCTAACTGCTGAGTGATTTGGCTGGGGACACAATATCCTCGTCAAGACACCCAAAGGCTTTTCAACGTAACTACAAAACTTTGCGCTACGTAACAGATGACAATTTATGGTTTATATTTCAGTTGTTTGTCTAAAAGTCTCATCAATAGCTCTTACTAAGTTATTAAGCCTTCACCGTTTCCCCAGTTAAATGAATAACATCAGTCGATAGTAAGGAATTCTGCAACTTCTTCTGACACTCCACCTTGTGAGGAATCGTATACCATTTTATAGCTGTGTTTGATGGTGAGTGTGCTTATTTGGGATGGCTACATTGTCAATTGTCTTGACAGTATGTTACTGAAATTCGGACGCATCGTGACTACAAGTGAATTAAGATTTCCTAAAAACGTGGAAAATCGTTTGCTCATTCACATTTAAGCAGTTCTAAAATTTTCCGATTTCTTGAGTATAATGAACAAGCCTTAAATTTGTTATATCTTTTAAACGTTCATAAAATACTCAAGGCTGATGTTTTTTTAAAAGCGCACAGTGTGGTTTTGTTTATCCTCCCGTTGCCATAAGACATATGTCAACATTTTATAGTGATCTAGCAAAAGAAATAGAAAACGAAGATACTTCAGTAAGTTTTTGTTGTATTATGACTATTCATTAATGTAGTTCGATTATAAAGGAACTGTACATGAAGACAGTAGGTTTATTCTATTATGCGTCTTAATTCGTATTCAGATGATCTCGATGATCTACTAAATTCACTTGACCAGAAGGATGGTTTAAAAGTTCGAAAGACAGGTAAAATTTGTATGGCTATATCCAATGGCTCAATCAGTTATTAAACAGAATGGTGATCCGAATTCCCGACTAGAATTCGAAGGACATACTGAAAAAACTAAAAGCCAAACAAAATCAGCAAAAACCATTCTTGATGCTCTTATAGACCCTTTTGATGGTATTTTTATTCTTCTCCCTGACCTGTTATAGTTTCAGACCCTGTTTTCGCAAAGACAGATAAACCTGCTTATCAATTAGATTCTGAATTTTTGAATGAATCTAAACGACGTCCTATTTCATCGATTCCTAAGAGAACAGTTCGATTTCTGGACGACGTTGGAATCGAACACCAGGAGGTATCTAGCAGCAAGGAGTTGGGTAACGAATCTGGCTTTGTGAGTCTGTAAAATTCATTTTCTTTTCGGTAAATACAAAGAATTTTTTTCACAGCGTGTTTTTGTGGTATAGTATTATTCTCAAGTGTGAAAATATATGAGTGAATATTATTTGTTGGTATTTATCTGAATAGCCTCCAAAGTATCAACAAAGTGCTAGCTCTGATATCACTTATGTCATAAATAAAATGCAGTATTTGATGACTTGATTTA